CCATTTTTCTATCTTAAATGTTAAGAAAAAAAAATAATAATATAGTAAATAAGATCAGAACAAAGGTAATGAGTGGAAGCTCTTAATTCCAGTTTCACAAGTTGATGAATAGGTTTATAATCTATATATTTTAGTATTTTAAAGGGTTTTAACAATCATGAAAATTAAGGTGGAGGGGAGACACTTTTTATAAACATCAAATCTTTCTCCTTATGAGTGACTTATAAGGATAAAACAGGTATAGGATATGTAGGCAAGTTAACTGGTTATGAGGCTGATTAATTTTAATTAAAGAGGCTGGTCGACAAAACATACATTTTGCCAATTTCCTTTCTTTTGCCTCCAGCAGAAATCAGTTACTTACTATTATAGAGAACCCTCAATTGAAAGTTATAAATTTTTCAAATAAAATCCATGAATATTTTTTTTCTTAGGCGCTTGGTAGTTAAAAGAACACCACCGACAGTTTCTTTAAAACTGACGGTTTTAATTACTTAAGAAGCTTGGAAAGCTGCGTTATCAGCAACTTTCTTTTTATTTCTGAACCAATTTTTTTAATTCAAATTTTTAAAAAAAATTTTTTTTTGTTCTCTCTCTTAAACAACCATGCCAACGAGAATAAAGTCTGTTTGCTACTCTAAAAATTAGTTCACCAAAAAACAGCAATTTTAGGACGATCCTGAGTATTAATTTTGCATCAAATGTTTGAGGTAGAAATTTTGTTTAATTTGCAAAACATAGATTATTTGTTAGAAGATGGCCTTATTTTGTGGGCAGTGTTTCTGAACACCCCTTACTCATGCATGCTTAAGTTTATTGCATGATATATTTATTTATCAGTTACGACTAGCACATATCTATATCTTGAACAAGTTAATATATTGAAAACTTGAATGGTCTCCCTCTTGCTTCGATTTTACTAATTGGTTTCTTATCTGCAATAACAATTTGACCTAATGTACTTTGAATTGGATGATCTTCATAAGATATAGTTAATTATTTACATTTTAATCAGTCATAAAGGAGTGATGACTGATGACTAGTTTTAGTCTCATTTGTCTGAATATCTGATATTTGCTTTTAAAGGAACAGGTTTATTATCTTTCCAGCTCTTACGTGCCAAAAAAAATGAAGCCAACATGATTCTCAAACTTGATTTTTTGTAATTAAATTACGATGATTTATTTACATTATCACATTTCAATATTTTTATGAAAACCTTTAAACTGCGGTCAATGGTCATGTTTAATGTTTACTGCTTTTTTTGCATGGATATTTTGTATGTTACGGATCTGGACGGTTTTTTATCACGGCTTAAAAACATATCCATTAATGTTTACTATTTTTAACTACAGGGAAGATGCTCAAAATTGCTAAATAATAATTATTTTTTCTTCAGATTTTTCAAACTGAAATGTCGAGGGCCAGGGG